GGGACCCTGAAGGCGCTGGTCGCTGCGGTCGTCGCAGACCGGGTGGTGATTGGGGAGCGAGACATGAGCCACGCGGTGTCCGAAGCTGTGGCGGCCTACAACTCCGACCCCACCTCGGAAGGTGTCTCTCCTCTTCAGTGCGTGACGGGGCGACAGCCGGCGGCTCAGGGGTCTGTCTTGAACAACTTTGCGGGCCGCCTTGCCGAGCACGGGTTGATCGACACCGACCCTAACCTGAACCAGCGCATGGCCCTCCGCGAGTCTGCCCGCATTGCCATGGTGAGGCTCCACTACAGCCAGAGCATTCGCAAGGCTGAGCTTGCGAGGAGCAGGGAGCCGACAGCTTCTCAACCTCCCGTGCCTGGCGATGTGGTTTACTTTTGGCGCGCACAGAAGTTGACTCGCCGGGGTGACCCTCGTGTCTCGACTTCTTCCCGGCGGCGGCGTCTGGAGCTGAAACGTTGGCATGGACCCGCCGTGCTGATTGCCTTGGAGGCCTCTGGTGAGACCGGCTTCCCTACCAACGCCTTCCTCTCCTTCAAGAGCCAGGTGACGAAGTGTGCGCTTGAGCATGTGCGTGCCGCCTCTTCGCTGGAACAACTCGCCGCGAACGCCTGGGAAGAGGCCATAAAAGAGCTGGTCGATGGTCTTGACCGAGCTCGCGGTTCCGAGCCTGCCGCGGCTGTGCCCGAGGACGAGCCCGTGGACGATGACCTGGAGTTGGCCGCCGTGGCGCTGGGGAACGTGGCGCCTTCTGATTGGCTGCCCTCTTCTTCGCCGGCGGCTACCGCTACTATGACTGGGCCCTCGGCTCCGTCGACGGCGGCTCCTGGAACGCCGGTGGGACAACTACTTCAACGACCGGTCCTTCAGCGTGCTCTAGGCCGGGCTCGGCAACAACCTTTGGCCATGGAGCTGGGACAGCATGCTCTTCGACGAGGCCAGCCCGCAGACTTCCAGGCTGAACTTCGTGATGCCATGATGCGCAGCACCCTGCGCCGCACCAGTTCCGAGGCGGGCTTCGCTGACGGCCCCAGTGAGACACGACGTGCAGTGCAAGAGACCAGCGGCGGTGCGCCAACAGTACCCCGACAATCTTCTAATGAATCTCCCGGGCTTCCTTCTGCAGGCGGTGCACCAGCAGTACCCCAACAATCTTCTAGTGAATCTCCTGGGCTTCCTTCTTCAGAACATGTACCAGCAGTACCCCGACAATCTTCTAGTGAATCTCCTGGGCTTCCTTCCACGTCTTTGTCTTCAGAGCCAGTTGCGAGTGGAAGGGGTTCCTTTGAGGCCATGGTTTTGTCACGTGAGCAGCTTGAGAACCTGGCGATGCCTAGCCAACAGGTGCACCCTTTGCTTCAGCTGCAGGCGCAAGTGGAGCAGGATAGGCAGTCTGTCTCTGTGTGTTTGGAGGCGGAACG